TTAAAAAAAATAATCCTCACCTGAGGATATTTTTCCATTTATCTTCAGATAGAGTGGGAGGGAGGATAGTGAGAGAGAGAGGAGAGCAAGAGAGACATAGATGTGAGAGAGTCTCATTGTTTGGTTACCTCCCACATGACCCTGACCGTGGCTGGGGACTGAACTGCAATTGAGGTACGTGACCTTGACTAGAATCAAACCTGAGACTCTTTGGTCTGCAGGCCGACGCTCTAACCATTGAGCAAAACCAGCCAGGCCGTTCTGTTTTATCTTTATAGAATTTGGGAAATGGTATATCACAAATGTAATGCATTAACTCTTTAGCAACTTGAATCCTAGGGCAAAAATTATTACTTTTTGACCATCAAAAATAGACACTTTTTACCCCAACTGGTGTGGCTCAGTGACTGAACATCAACCCATGCACTGGAGGTCACTGGTTCAATTCCTGGTCAGGGCACATGCCCATGTTGTGGGCCAAATCCCCAGTGGGGGGCATGCAGGAGGCACCCTGTTGATGTTCTCTCTCATTGATTATTCTCTCTCTCTCTCCCTTTCCCTCCCGCTCTTTCTAAAATCAATAAAGGAAAAAAAAAGGTACTTTTTAGTGCTCACTGTTTACTGTTTTGCTGGAGAATGTCTTGGTTTAGAAGTTTGAGCAGGGATTTCAGTATAATGTGGGACATAAGGCCAACACTTGAAAGAACAAGGCAGAATATAATCCAATGCCAACTCATGGGTCGAAATGGCATACTGCAGGAAGTACAATGAGGACACTGGAGTTAGGAAGGCCTTCTAGAAAAGACAGATCTTGACCAGGCTTCCATGAATAAATCAGATACACTAGAATAAAGGGAAGAAGGATTTCCAGGTCAGGAAATCACTACAAGTGAAGGCAAATATTACATGTCCAATGGATTTGGTGTGCTTAATGAAAAGTAAAGTTAGAAATGTAGAATGTTGCAGTAAATCCAGATAAAGAAGATTTTCCAAGTTAGGGAAATAAATCTAGATTCTATTTTCCTCATCACTGTAATCCAGCTTATGTCTCAAATAACTAATTATCCTTTTGTTGCTTTATCTGCCCATGTTAAATTGCTGCCAAAGTCATAGATCCATATAGAGCTACAGCAAAAACTGCTCTGGTCCTTCTCCTTGGTGGTTTCCAACTCAAATCTGGCTCATAATTTCTCATGATGATTGTGAAGGTTCAATTTTTGTGCTTAGTTTGTGAACATGTGTCTGCTTTGTGTGTTTTGGAAGTCTGTAGTCTTAGCCCATAGAAAATTCATGTGTCAGTTTTTAATTATAATGGCAGTTCTCGATGTTCTATTGTCTACTGTGTCCAGACAACACTTAAAGGACAGCTTCTGAAAGGTGGGATTTGGTTCTTGCTTCAAGACAAGTGGCAGGAAATACACAGCGTAAAGGGTGACAGTGTAAGCCAAAGAAATGCCTGTGGGAGTGTTATAACTCAGTGCCATTGACCTAAACTCCCAGAGGCCTTCACGACAACCAAAGGGGTTGTCAGTTTACTCTTTTACTGAAGAACATTCTTCACTAACTAATCCCTAAGTAATCGCTAACCCTGGGGTAATAACTAACCCTTGAGTAATCCTGGGCGGCACCAGCGATAATCTATTGAAAACATCTTGACCTTTGAGATGTCTGGGAAACTGAGTAACAGGTAATTAACTAACTGCTAAATTCCGCTTCTGTAACATGCTTGCTTACACGTAGCAACCCCCTTACAAAATCCTATAAAAAGGAGCCATTTTAGCTCTCCAGGGCCGCAGTTACTCCTGTGTGGGACATACTGCAGGTGCCTGCGGACTTAGCTCAATAAACTCCTTTTATTAAACCCCATCTCGGGTCTGAGTTTGGTCGATCTCCTGGGTTACAACAGGAGAAGAATGGGCTAAGAAATACGGAACAGCAAGAAACTTTGTCACTGCTTTTTGCTCTCTAAGGCAGAGTAATGACTCTAGTTAATGAAAGACATGCTATGCATTGTACATTTTTTCTATTTCTCCCCAAATCTATATTTTTGAGGGTTACCTACTCTAATTATTACTATGGTGATTTTGTCTGTAAATTGATACTAACAAAAAATTTCATAAGGTTTCTCCAAATATTCAGGCAACTTATGAAACTATTACTGTTAGCACTTAGCTTCCATATTACTGCCCCAAGGCTCTTCAATCTTTTACTTTCATATTGATGCCCCAAGCCTCTTATCCTTTAACCTTGCCCTAAGCCTCTCATTCCAGGAAACCAAAACCCATCACTCCAGTCAGGTGGAACAGAATGATGGAACCACCCTAACCCACCCAAAACAGCAAACGGTCGCTCCACAAGAAAAATAAGTTTCAGGAGACCTGAGCCCCAGACCAATCAAGAACTTGGGAGACCCCAGGCCCAACCAATCAAAGACGACCACGTCTCCTCAGCTGAACAACCATCCCCCCAGCCCTGAGTTTAAAAATCCCTAGTCTGTACAAGCCGGTTGCTACTCTCTCCTTAGAGGTAGTCCGGCAGGCTAATTCCCAATAAACCTGCACTTCTGCAGATCCTGGACCACCTCGTTCCACCTCATTCTTACAATTACATATAATCAGTTCATTTTTATGAAAGCCCTTCCCCTTCTCCATTATATATGATTATGTAGCTTAGCACCCTGATTTTGCTCTCCTTCAAACATAAACCCATCCACTCACAGTTTAAACTTGTCTACTTTGTATACATTTTATGTTTAGTTGCCACAGGTCTTTGTATTTTTGAAGACTATTCCTTAGATGATATGCCTTTGGTATAGTGGAACTAGATTAATGAATTTTGTTTGGGCGTATGCTGAGAACTTCTGGGGGCAGGGCAGGGAGGTGGTGGTAAGGTATTGACCTTATCACAGAGGGATACTAAAGTACTGAAAAACACACAGACAAGTTTAGTTTCTTTATTTGTTATGCATCATTTTACAAAAATAGCACCAACTACACACTACATTTTTCTAAAAAGTCTTCACGCATATATTATATGTACTTTGGTAATGAAGCTCAAGGGGAAATCTGCATTGTCAATGGCACACAACCATACACAAGAGCTTTCAGAGATTTCTCTTAGAAGGGTACCAGACTACACATAAATTTCCTTTTTGAGAACATTGGATATTAGACACCTACATGGCAAAAAGTCTTAGAATGTGTAAATATATTGAACCTTTAGCCAATCCATTTTGCCCATCTGAGAAAACAATGCAAAAGTTCCTGTTCCTGATCTGACCTTTGAGACCTTAGTAGGAACTTGCTTCAACTATCAGTGGTTCAGCTATACTCAAACCCCACGAAAGCACTGAGCCTTCCAGGTGGCCACAAGACCTTTACAGCCGTGTGTCCAGTGGATATAATCACTGCTATTGGCCAAATACTGTTCCCCACTTCCACCTGCTTGGGTTAGGTTCTCTTTGCCTCCATGGTTCAGAAAGCCACAAGCATGACTTATCTACCCAGAAAACATCTTCCAAACCTTCCTCTGACCCTGTGTGGAAAAATGAGGCTGAGAGCAATAAAAAGGTTGGGAAAAGTTGAATCCCTTGCACCTTACTTCTTTTCTTGCTCAATCACTTAATTTCCTGAGACAGCCCATGGGTTCTTCCAAGAACCTGTAACCTCCATCTCCCTTTTTGTTTCCTGGTCTAGCTCATTATAACCACTGATGCAGCAAGTTGGTAAATAAGAGTGTAACAGACTATTATGGTATTAAATAGAACTTGCTTATTCTTACTAGAGTCTCAAAGCTTACTGTAAACAAAACACCAAAATAATTATAGATTCTATCTATTATGGATACCAATATAAAGGCAAAGAGAAAATGTGAGGAGAAATAAAATAACATTTGTGTGGGGATATTTTTGGCTTCAAGATGAGAAAAATGGAGGACATTCTCCATTTAGCATTAAAGTTGCACAGTGGGGCTTATTAGGTTCTTTTGCCTGTACTGGGTGTTTCAGAAGCCAGGTGGCCAAGTTAAACAGACTAAAATAGCACTGTAGACATGAAAGTTGTGCTGTGAATGGTGATGGCCATTGGAAAATAAACTTTAGACATTATAATGAAAAGTTCTGTAGTACAACATATGTACAAGTAAAAATTAGGATGTGTGTAACTCATGATAAGCTTGCTTAATTCATACTGACAACTTCTGTTACCTGTGGTTGACTCAGGTTTTGAGGTTCTAGGAATTTTGGGTAAAATGGGAAAATAAATATATTTTCAGACATGTTTTGAAATAAACTCTAGTGCCTGTAGAAACATGCGCATATCCATAATGGAGGTTGTTATCCAAGTGTATTTGGTGATTTGATTATGTATCTAGTCTCTTATGAGGCTCCAGGACTATGTTACCTCTCTAACTGGTCCAGTGCCTTATAAAGGACTCATGTGAAGGGAAATCTTGCTCAGCTGAAAAAGCTCATGGGGTTTCCCCAGTCACAGGATTCTTTATTTTATTCTTGTTCTCACTTGAGGACTTTTTTTTTTTTTTTCATTTATCTTCAGATAGAGCAGGAGGGAGAGAGGGAGAAAGAGAGAGAGACACATTGAGTAGCTGCCACCGACACGACCCCAATCGGAGCCAGGGACAAACTGCAACCAAGATATGTACCCTTAGAGGGAACGAAATGTAGCCACTGAGCCAAACGAGTCCGGGCCAGTCACAGGAGTCTTAATCTCTTCGCAGTAGTGACCGCCCAAGAGAAAGCGAGGAGCAGGCACAGGGGACTCTGCCCAGGGATGGGTGGGAACCACAAGTTCTCCTTCCGAATTGTGCATTACCGAGTTTCTGCAAGTTGACCTGTCATGACAATAACCATGAGAAATGTATGCAGTAGGAATAAGACGTGTATCTACAGTTGCATTTAAAGAAACTAAAACGAGGGAGAAAAACAAAACGAAACCCCACAAACCAAACAAACCCTTTGATTCCGTCGCAATTCTGTCTTTCAGGTTCTCGAAGAGCACGCTGGACCAGGAGGCAAACTCGGAAACCCTTCATCTTCCCCCTCCTGTGTGCTCTCCATCATGTTCCGTGGTCATTTGACACACTCCTCTCCCTGCAGACAGAACGTGGAGTTCTGTAGCAGTCCTTTGGGAAAGCCTGTGCTTGGTGGAGGCCCAGTCCCCTACAGAGGACGCAGGCGACGGGAACACGCCCAGTGGGAAAATCTCACGGGGTTTCCCACTGTCACCTGATTCTTGATCTCGATTAAATCTCAAAGCCTGTGCTTTCCCAATAAATCAAATTCATGTCACCGTCACTGACCCTTCTACCGCCTCTCTACCTTGAGCATGAATGCGGTGAGTCCCTGGACTCAGTTATCCTTCTTTTGCCCAGAAAAGAAGTGCCTTGATTTCCGAAAAAGGCAAACTTTCGAAGGAGGGTCTACGCCAGAGCTGTTGCCTACTAGAGCTTGCCGAAGGCGTGGCGAGTCTGGAGAAAGGACAGGGTCTTTTGCTACAGTCAGGCCAGAAGCCTGGCATCTTAAGTGGCATTCATTCATCGGTTGCAAGCAAGAGTACGTAGACAGGTTAATAAAACAGAAGCAGCAGGTACATTGTTATCGCAAGAAGCCTAAGAGAATGCTAATGCAGATGGTCAGGCTGTACTTTTGCTCCTTTGAAGGGACAAACCTCCACCGCAGGGGCACATATAAAAGCATGTCCGAAGGTAGGGACAGAAGCGCATGGGTGGAGAACGTTAGCTCCTGCTCTCCGAACCTTGCCAGTTGGAGGATTCAAGAGAGGGCAACAGGGGCCCAGGTTAGGTTTCAATGGTGGCAAGCCGGGACAGTTTCAGCAGGAATGTAGGAAAGGGAAGGTCGGAACCAGTGGCACATCTACTGAGCCCTGTCCCCGATGTGGCAAAAGGCTTCATTGGGCCAATTGGTTTAAGTTCAAACTTGAGAAAATTGGGAATCACTTGTAGGCAAATGGGACGAGAGGCGCGGGGCCAGGGGCCCCGACAACTCCCTGGGTCCCCAATGACTCAACTTGTCTCAGCCAATCAAGCGGAGAGTTGGAGACCCCTCAGCATCAACAGCAGGAAGTGCTGGCCTGGGCCTTGTCGGTAGCACAGAATTAAGCCTGGAGGAGTCTGAGGGTACTTATCTAGCTCCCACTGGATTCTGTGGTCCCTGGCCGGGAGGACAAGATGGGTCTAGTGATTGGATGATCTGGTTTAACAATGAAAGGAGTTCGAGTGATGCCAGGGAATTTGATGCTACCTCCCGGTGCCCTATGAGGCTAGGAGACTATGTTACCTCACTAACTGGGTCAAAGGTCATTCTCTGACATAAACCACTATGGGGAGGAAGAAGGAAACAGTCACACAAGGGACCAAAAGGATTTGTAATTTTATCTTTATTTTTGTAAGTTGAAACACAGTTTAATGGTCACTAAGATTTAAAAATAAAAATAAAAAAGACAGAAAAAAACAAAAAACAAACCCACACCGGGATAAAACGTAACTATTTACAAGGACAAAGGTTTTAACTTCCCCTGCTATGCCCAGAGTCCTTCAGGGTGGAAAGTCACACATGAAATGTCCGAGTTGTTTCATCTCCCAAAGAGCACAGGAAAGTAACCACCGGAGTCATAGCCACTCCCAGCTTCGATGGGAAACCATCGCGGCAACCTTGCGAGGGTTTTTCCTTTTTCCAAGCAGGTCTCAACCGGACGTTGCTGGGTTTCTTCTTGCATGCACAGTTTCTCATTCAACTGACTGAGGTCAAGGCCCCCAGGTGGCCTCCAAGGAGCCCCCAGCCAGTCAAGGCTGAATGTCTTCATAGATTTATGGTGATAGTGGAGTCTGGAGGAAGACAGGACTTGTCCCGGGTGAATTCTTGGTGGGCTGAGCTAGAGACGCTGCGCGGCACACAGTCTCAGCCCCAGGAAGCCACACCCCGGGCTTGGGTCTTGTTGGGTCAGCAACAGCCCTTTGCTGGCCTGGGCCTAGACTAGAATAAGACCGGTTTGGGCTTGTGTTTGGGGATTTTGCCCTTGGAGCTCAACCTGCGAACAGCCTCCCTGAGATGCTTGGGTTGCAGTGGGGGCGCTTCCCCCCACTTCTCGCACACGTCCAGGGCCTCTTCCACCACCTCTCCCACGAAGACCTTGGCCAGGCCGGCCATGGCGATGACCGCAGTCTGCGGCACCGAGGTGCTGGCCGCGCTCCGCATCAGCCGGTTCACGGCGGCCCTGGGGAAGGCTGACCGGCGGTACACTTCGTAGCGGTTCAGCTGCTCCTCGGAAAGCATCAGGCGTTTCATCTTCTGAGCGTCCGCCTCATCCACTTTCCATTTCCTCTCCTTCTTCCCCTTGGCGTCTCTTTTCTGTCTTTTGGCCGCGGGAGGAGATGACGAGGACTCCTTCCTTCCGACTGTCTTCAGGTCCGAGCTGTCCTGACTCCCGAGCCCATCTTCGTGTTCAGGAGTTTCCTTCAGTTCCTTAAACCGCTGCCCCGGGATTCTGTGGGGGTCGCTAGCCGCGGAGTCCACGGGGACGACAGCAGGTTGCGGGCACACACCTGTGTTCCCACCTGTGCCCGCGCGCCAGGACCTGGCCTTATCCATGCCGGTGCTGGAAGACGCAGGGCCCGGTGCAGGGATGTCTGATCAGGGACCTGCAACAGGAATGTCGAGAAGCTTTAGTGTCAGGTTGGCTATTAGTTTTTCTATCAATTTACAGCAAATGTTATAAGTAACATTTGCAACACATTTAATAATGAATTTTTCATTAATTTATCACCGACGTCCGCAAAACCCCCACTGACTTACTAGTTACAGTGTGTAGGTCAGAAATCCCAGTGGAGAACCAGCCTCGGAGTGCTCTCCTGTCGTCTGTCTGGGAACTGTGGACTGGGTGGGGCTCCAGTCCCTTATAAAGACTCACGTGATGGGAAATCTCGCCCAGCTGGAAGATATCACGGGGTTTCCCCAGTCACAGGATTATTAATCTCATCAGGGGAGTGACTGCCCCAGCGCATGTGAGGGGCAGGCACAGGGCCCTCTGCCCAAGGATGGGCAGGAACCCTGCGTTCTCCTCCGGATTTGTGTATTACCGAGTTCCTGCAAGTTGACCTTACTGGTCACGACAGTACCACGGGAATCGTATGCAGTAGGAATAAGACGTGTATCTACAGTTGCATTTAAAGAAACTAAAATGAGGGAGTAAACCCAAACGAAACCCCACAAACCAAACAGACCGTTTGATTCCGTCGCAGTTCTGTCTTTCAGGTTCTCGGAGTGCACGCTGGACCAGGAGGCAAACTCGGAAACCCTTCATCTTCCCCCTCCTGTGTGCTCTCCATCATGTTCCGTGGTCATTTGACACATGCCTCTCCCTGCAGACAGAACGTGGAGTTCTGTAGCAGTCCTTTGGGAAAGCCTGTGCTTGGTGGAGGCCCAGTCCCTTACAGAGGACGCAGGCGACGGGAACACGCCCAGTGGGAAAATCTCACGCGGTTTCCCACTGTCACCCGATTCTTGATCTCGACTAAATCTCAAAGCCTGTGCTTTCCCAATAAATCAAATTCATGTCACTGTCACTGACCCTTCTACCGCCTCTCTACCTTGAGCATGAATGCGGTCCCTGGACTCAGTTATCCTTCTTTTGCCCAGAAAAGAAGTGCCTTGATTTCCGAAAAAGGCAAACTTTCGAAGGTGGGTCTACGCCAGAGCTGTGACCTACTAGAGCTTGCCGAAGGCGTGGCGAGTCTGGAGACAGGACAGGGTCTTTTGCTACAGTCAGGCCAGAAGCCTGGCATCTTAAGTGTCATTCATTCATCGGTTGCAAGCAAGAGTAGGTAGACAGGGTGATAAAACAGAAGCAGCAGGTGCATTGTTATCGCAAGAAGCCTAAGAGAATGCTAATGCAGAATGTCAGGCTGGACTTTTGCTCCTTTGAAGGGACAAACCTCCACCGCAGGGGCACATATAAAAGCATGTCCGAAGGTAGGGACCGAAGTGCATGGGTGGAGAACGTTAGCTCCTGCTCTCCGAACCTTGCCAGTTGGAGGATTCAAGAGAGGGCAACAGGGGCCCAGGTTAGGTTTCAATTGCGGCAAGCCGGGACAGTTTCAGCAGGAATGTAGGAAAGGGAAGGTCGGAACCAGTGGCACATCTACTGAGCCCTGTCCCCGATGTGGCAAAAGGCTTCATTGGGCCAATTGGTTTAAGTTCAAACTTGAGAAAATTGGGAATCCCTTGTAGGCAAACGGGACGAGAGGCGCGGGGCCAGGGGCCCGGACAACTCCCCGGGTCCCCAATGACTCAACTTGTCTCAGCCAATCAAGCGGAGAGTTGGAGACCCCTCAGCATCAACAGCAGGAAGTGCTGGCCTGGGCCTTGTCGGTAGCACAGAATGAAGCCTGGAGGAGTCTGAGGGTACTTATCTAGCTCCCACTGGATTCTGTGGTCCCTGGCCGGGAGGACAAGATGGGTCTAGTGATTGGATGATCTGGTTTAACAATGAAAGGAGTTCGAGTGATGCCAGGGAATTTGATGCTACCTCCCGGTGCCCTATGAGGCTAGGAGACTATGTTACCTCACTAACTGGGTCAAAGGTCATTCTCTGACATAAACCACTATGGGGAGGAAGAAGGAAACAGTCACACAAGGGACCGAAAGGATTTGTAATTTTATCTTTATTTTTGTAAGTTGAAACACAGTTTAATGGTCACTAAGATTTAAGAAAAATAAAATAAAAAAGAGAGAAAAAACAACAAAAAAACCCCACACCGGGGTAAAACGTAACTATTTACAAGGACAAAGTTTTAACTTCCCCTGCTACGCCCAGAGTCCTTCAGGGTGGAAAGGCACACATGAAATGTCCGAGTTGTTTCATCTCCCAAAGAGCACGGGAAAGTAACCACCCCAGTCATAGCCACTCCCATCTTCAATGGGAAACCATCGCGGCAACCTTGCGAGGGTTTTTCCTTTTTCCAAGCAGGTCTCAACCGGACGTTGCTGGGTTTCTTCTTGCATGCACAGTTTCTCATTCAACTGACTGAGGTCAAGGCCCCCAGGTGGCCTCCAAGGAGCCCCCAGCGAGTCAAGGCTGAATGTCTTCATAGATTTATGTCGACAGTGGAGTCTGGAGGAAGACAGGACTTGTCCCGGGTGAATTCTTGGTGGGCTGAGCTAGAGACGCTGCGCGGCACACAGTCTCAGCCCCAGGAAGCCACACCCCGGGCTTGGGTCTTGTTGGGTCAGCAACAGCCCTTTGCTGGCCTGGGCCTAGACTAGAATAAGA